AGAGAAGGACAGCGTGTCTTTTGTTTCACATTTACAAGGCAAATGTCTAATAGATGGCAGACATAATTTCTAACACTGACCAATTTTCTCACGCATTGCCTTGAAAAATTAAGTGGCCACTGTTGGAGAAATGTAATTAAAAACAAAATCTAAATAGCACGATGTGTACCCTGAATGTAGTCTATGTTACTTGTTGATTAATCGTCTATCTCCATTCAGCACTCTCCCATCTATACTGAAGTTAGTTATATTGTTCTTTTCACTGGAATGACAGTCCTCTGCACTCCATTTGATAGTCCTATGTATCAGCAAAAGGCCAACTCAACACTGTCTACTGAAACACTGTGCTCTTACTATACCATTTCCTGGCAGTCAAATATGTCAGTGTTACCCTGAGACAGATATGTAAATTGCATACCATTCATAGTGTGTGAAACTTGAGACAGAAATGTAGAACAAGGACAATCTGGATTAGGGATTGAGGAATTTGACTTTATATATGTGGAAGTCTGGATTTGCAAAATCAAATGTTTAAAACTCTGCAGAACAAATGGGATTTACTGACTTTCAGGAAAAATTTAAAAATATATTTTCTTAACAAACTAGTCTCAGATTTAGTTAATTTATACATATTAAAATAGACAAAGTGTATTCAAAAGTTTTCAAGAGATTCCTTTCAGTGTTTAGGCAAACATAGGAGAAGTAAGAGGAAAGGGACAGAACTTGATCAAATGAAATTGTAGAAAAACAAATACAGGCTCAAGCTCTGGCCTTAACATGGTTGAAGAACCCGGAGATAATTTGAACTTAAAGCTCGTGCAAGTAGGATTTTAAGTTCCAAAGTTTCACTTGAAAGCTGTACATTAAATGGATTACAGGAGTTAAAAAAAAAAGAAAAAAGAGTATCAATCAGTAGAGTTCTAAAAATGCTTCATTAAGTGAGACTGTATATAGTCAAATGCAAGTGTTGAACTACTCAAAGTTTGAGAAGGGATTGGATTTGAGGAAATGACTGGTGACCTTTGAGACATAAAGAAAACAATTAAGCACTGATTTGATTTTTAGTGAAATTGGACAAATTTGTGAACCTTCCTGCGGAATGCTTCCACAAAAAGCAAATGGGAAATCTAAACCGAAATGCAAAATACAAACCCTTTATAAAGAATTGCAAAACCATCCATGTCGAAAGCAGCAAGTACTCAGAAGTACTTTTTAAAATGTATTTAGTACATGATGTACAGAGTATCAAGACATAGATCAAACTTATAATGATCCTCCTGTTTTCAGCCCCCCAAGTGCCGGGACTACAGGTGCACACTACCAGGCCCAGTCTCAATCGCTGTCTCAGGGGCGGGGGCCTTGGGGGTGGGACCAGCATGGGCACTGGAATTAGGATCCTGGTCCCTGCACCTGCCTAACTAGGTGCTTTAACCTGCTCAGCTTTCTGGCCGGCACCTAAAAGTACATTTTTGAGTAATAAAATGCAAAGTTGTCAATGAAATATCTGTGCTTATGGAGTGGATTGCACATATGTTCATAATTCTTACAGTTATTTCCATTAATAATTGGATTCTGAAGTTTTATCCATCAATGAACTGAAATATGTGTCTCTTCCTCTGGAATCTAGCTTGGGTTTCTGATATGTGTGGGACAAATACAATATGGTAGACACGAAATTCCATTCACTTTAAACTTACACTGGACATGCAGTATTTTAGCTTTGCTAATTCTTTTTGTTCCCTGACCAGCAGTACACAGATGTGCTCAGGTTAGCTTATGAGTAAAGAAAGACGTACAATCTAGTCTATGTATTAGAGTTATAAGCAGCAAGTCAACCAGAGAGAGTAGTTTAGCAAGTCAGCAACTTTTCACAGAAACAAGAGTACGCCTAATTAAATGAAAGCTGTCTGTCCAATTGGCTAAAACAAGAAGTGTGAATTAACTGAATAGAAAATCATCTCACTTACTGATAGTGAAGTAACTGAATGTTCAACTTGGTTGGTTGAGAATCACCCAGGAGATTAGTGAAGCCCCCGTGTGGATGTATTTGGGTTGGTCATGGAGGGGTTTGACCTTGGGTATGTACTTTATGCCTGCCTCCTTCTCTAGAATAGTTTTCCTGCTCTGCTGCATGACCACCATAAGCTAGGAGCTTTGCTTCACAACATGTGCTTCTACCATGATGCTGCTGTTTTGGAATTAACTAGAAGCCTACAGAATGCCCAGAACCCAGGAGCACTAATAAACTCCTTTTGGTTTCAAGTGTTAGGCATTTGGTCTCTGTTGCAGCAAAGCTGAGTAATTCACTGACACATTAAAAAAGAAAAATTGGGGTACCTGCATAGTTAAATAATGTGAAATAGTTAAAGATCTGCTAAACTTGGACTATCTTCCCACAAAGTAAATTAGAGGTCATATGAACTTGCTTCTCACCTTCTCCTTTCAGGGAATAAACATTATCAATCATACACAGACTCTTTCAGATAATAGGAAAAAGGAAACATTTTTCAATTCATCTCATCATGAGCTAAGCATAAAATAGATTGAGCTTCATACCAATATAATGAAAATTATACATGATTTATTTTAAGAATATGGGATTGATTTTATGCAATCAATAATAATAGAAGGGAGTTGAACAGATGCAGTTCACCACATTAACAGTATGTAAATGTAAGTGATCATTTAATGAATAGGTTTTTTATGTTATTCTTTCCTGAGGGACTACTATGTTGCCAATTACTGAAAAAGCCTGATGACCTACAATAGCAAGCATTCATGTGTCACACTAAGGTTTCGGGGTTAATGAGAAAGTTCCTCCTTCCGAATATGGGTCAAATTAGATGTATTCTACCTGATTTATTGTTGAAGAAGCCTGTAGTAGAAACAGTTGTCTGGGAGACTCTCTACTCATGGCTATTAGCAAGGGAAACACAGGAGAAGCTAACCTATATCCCCAACAAGTCCTATCCCTAGAGTTTCACGTGCTCTAATATCCAACTGTAGGGCCACCAGAGCAAAGCCAAAGAAAAAAGAAATGAGATAATTGTAAGCAAATAATAACACCTGCATAAAACAAGACTGACATAAGGAACTAGGAAAGTAACAGTTTTGTATTTTGCATTTTTAAAAATGAATGAAAGAAAAAGAATATTGATAATATATGTCCATGATAACTAATACTTTTTTAGTAAAATATTGAAGTTCTAGTTTAAGACTAGGATATTCATATCACCAACCTACTGAACACTGCAGAATTTTCATTACTCAATAAAGAAGAGAATAAAGGAGAAATCATCACATATGAATATTTATATAAAATATCCATAAGATTGTGCAGATAATTGTTTAGAAATCCATAATTTTTGAAAATGTAATGTTTCATAATATTTATTATTGGTACAAATCCAGAATGTGACTGCATTTAATACAAAAGTTGATTAAGCCAACGTTACCATTTGGGTGAAGTTAATGTTACATTTTACAGATAAGGAAACTGAAGCTTTGAGTGCTTTCCATAGCCCTCCATGTTTACAGTCAAACATGTCAACACCTAGTTCACTGAAAACACTGTCATGCAATAGTGTGTTGTCTTCGGATGACTCTCCTCTCGGAGTAGTTCAGCAGTAGCCGAAGCCAGAAGATGGTGTTATTACTAACCAGTTCTCTCTCACTCTTTTTTGAAGAACACATTTAGACAAACTAATTTTTATGAAAACAGGTATCCTGGTAATCTTATTTTGGATGTCTTGTAAAAATTAATCCTAGTTTTCCTTTCCCCAGTGCTTCTGATATAGTCAGACCACTATGATCTTTTGCCATGACTATTGCAATCTTAATATCCTTTCTTTCCAGTTTTCCTGATACAATTAACTCTTGAGATTTCAGATAGATAAGTCTTTCCAAAAACTAAATCTGACTGCACTATCCCATGCTCAAAACTTTTCCATTGGTTCTCTTGTTCTCAAAGCATTTCCCCGCCACCTAAACATCACTTAACCTATTTCCTTGAGTTGCACAGACTTTCCGTACCCTCTCTTCTGCAGCAAATCTCTCACTTCTTAAGGTTCCAAACTTATGGATTTATTGTTAAAAACATCTATCAGCCTATTTCCATTAGTATTTATAAGTGAGTTCTCCATGTATGTGACTAGTTTGTATTTATCTTTGAAAGCTCATCTTACATATTTTATGTTAAATTTCTTAGGAAGCCCTCCATGAATTAAAGCCTTCTCTATGTTTCAGTTCACCAGGCTGATCTTTCACTATCAATTTCTGCTTTAAATGCATCGGAAATTGTCTGCTTGCTAATTTCCCAAACCATTAAACGTGCACAGGCGCCCACGCGCATACGCATGTGTTGTTTACTCTCTCCCTAAATAGGACCTGATCGTCCTTCCTTAATCATTTTCTTCTTGATTCCCTGTAATTACTATTTTTCTTTTTTTCAAACCAAATTGGTAGGACAGTTTCAATAATTAACACATTGTATACATTCTTCCTAGTGGTTAATTTTCTTGACTGCTTTTCCTGGAGATTTTGATTGTCCTGTTTTCTCAATGGTTTTGCTTCTCTGGGAACCAGGGAAGAAACATGCCCCTTCCTTTCTGTACTGGGTCTACCCTTAGTTTGTTCCCACACACATCACCACCTGTCCGTGTTTCTGAGGTAGATTTTTTCCTATCATTTTTCCTACCACAAAATTTTAAAAACTTGAAGAAAACACGAACAACATTATTGTAAGAGTATGAGCTTTCCAAAAAATAACTGGCCAACTGGGTTATATGTATAAAAATTTTACAATTTTGCCCTGGAACCTCTCGAGAGCTTGGATAGTTCTCACTGTAAGTGACAAATCTTAATTTTGTTCTAATTTTCACTTTTAATATGAAAAACTCAACGCATCCTAGTCATCAAGTTTCAATGCAGATTTTGCTAGAAATGGGCGGTTCAATGAGTGGGACTGTGGGAAAGCCTCACACCCTTTCTCTCTGTGTTAGACAGGACTACGAAGACCTAGAGAAGCAGCTGAAAGAAGTGTTTAAGGAGCGAAGCACCATCCTTCGCCAGCTGACAAAGACCTCCAGGGAGCTGGATGGAATTAAAGTTAACCTTCAGGTGAGATGTAAGCTAATTACCTCAGCGGCACAGACACCTGATCGACCCCACTAGATTTATCTGCATTTTAAAGTAGTTTTTAATATGTTTCTGGACTTGATCATGGTGCTTATTACTTGTTATTACCTAAGCTGTGAAATGAAATGGCATTTGAAATGCAGGCTAGGGAGCCCAGACTCCCAAGTACAGAAGGGAGGAAACTGTCTGGCAAAGCCTTCCTCAGTTCCTTTCAGTTTGAAAGATGAATGTGACTGCTGTGTTTTCATAGTATAAAATGATGTAAGGTAATCAGACAAGCATTTAAATGGATATAGGATAAAGAATATCCAGATGAGAGTTTTTAAATTCTCTCTGAAACAGTTATAAAGATTTTTTAAAATAAATATCATTTTCAAAATGGGGGTGCTGGGGAGATAGCTCAGAGATCTAAGTGCCTGCCTGGCAAGCTGAAGGACTGGAAATCGATCTCTGGTTCATGTGCCATGCGTGCGGGACCCTGCATGCACCTTGCTGGCCTGAGACCAGGCATGGTGGTCTTCAGATAAGTAACTATTTAACCCACTGTACATTTTTTTCCTTGCAAATAGAAGTCCTGTAAGATAGGAGATTTGAAAGTTTGTGTTTGAAAGTCTTTGCATCTTTGTAACCATAGTATCCAAATAGTATAAAAATATAGGAAAGTACAAAACATGAGGGTTGATTCATTGACACATCAAACTTAGATGTTCTTAATGGAACAAAGATGATTTTCAGAGAACTATACCTCACTCTGCACCAGGTGGATATGCTATGAATTTACTCCAGGACGACTCTACCAAGCAAAGAGCCTATTACTAAAGGTTATCCCAGTCCATGACCTCGTTTTTTACTGTGAATTTTATTCAGTACAATTTCCTAAATTTTTAATCTGCTGATCCTTCACAGTGCCAAGGTTATAAAAATGTCAATAAGTGAATAAAACCATTTTTATTGCACATTTTGCCAGTGTTCTCAGGCATCTAGTTAGTGACCTTTGAGTTGAACAGTGCAGTGTCTCCAGGCCCTTTATAATTTACATCTATGTTATTGTAGATGAGGTAAAGAACTTCCTGGAGTCATTTGACCATGATGCACTTTGATCCCCAAATGCCACCAATAATGGGCTTCCTTCCCACACCAGTCCTCATTGTGCCTGCTCAATGTTTAGGCAGACGCTACTCTTCCCAGTAAACAGAGCCCTGTTCATCAGCCTCTTTCTAATGAAATGTCAGACAGCCCTTGTAGGACAGAGCTTTCGCATGTGGAGTTCAGCACACCACATAAATATGATACTGATACTACATTGAAGTTGCCTCTTTTCAGCAGGAAATTGAGAAATTTCCAAAGGTGTTCCTGTGCCTTTGTATAGGTCTTGGGTATTCCATCACAGGTGTTTGTTAGATAAATATTAAGTAAGGAGAACATTTCTTTTTGTTTTGACATTCCCTTACCTGGCACTGCAGCTTCATAAACATGATGATTATATCTCCCTTGAAACATTGACTGTCAAGGTGACAGCTTACATTATTAAATAGTTTATTTTATATAAATGAAAAAATTATTAGGGATAGTTTAATATGACATATTTTCATAAGAAAAATTCATTGTGAGGGATTTCTGCCTTAATTAATGTGCACTGAGTCCAGAATTTGCCAGTGTGTATAAGCATTCATGACTGAGATGTTATATACTGTTCTTCATACCCTATTTAGAGACCACTCACCATTACACATGGCCTGGTTTTGTATACTCAACAGTATTGCTCGTGAATGAGAAAGAGACAAATGCAAACAGGCATATTCTGTTTTATAGCTTTGATCTTTTAATTTTTTTGAGAACCACATAGCAATGAGATAGTTTCAAAGCAGGTTAGCAGGACAGTTACAATAGCATATTTTTATCTTCTTAGTGGTTATTCATAGTACAAGAAGCAGACATGGTATCCTGCCCAAGCACTATTAGTACAAGTCTTTCTTCTTATTGATTTGAGAGAAAGTAGCTGTGTATCTATCCTAACTCTTTTGTATATATAATACAAAATGGTCCTTCATTTATATCCCCTTTTTTGTTTAGTTTTGCTAGAGTTGTATTAGTATTTCATTGCCATTTAAATATTGTAGGTGTGTGAATTCAGCAAAATAATCCAGTATAGTCCAGTAGTTCATTATAGTAGTGGGTTATCCATAGGACTGGCAATGTCAGAAGTTGTTGAGTTGAGACTTTTAGAGCTCAGCATATTAATATGGCTTTACTTTTTAATAACTTGTTTTTATACTTTTCTGCTAGATAGTTAAGACCAATATAAAGCAAGGCCTATATAACAATAAATGTAACTTTTGTATCTGACAAAGTCAATCAAATCCCCTCAGGATTTATCCTGCAACCTGTACCGCAGTTTGCCGCAGTTTGTAGATCCTCTGTCAGTGTCAGCCATGTAGATGAGTCATGGCCATTGCTTGACCAATTTGCTCTCTGTGAAAGCCTGAGAGAATATTTTCTCTCTAGGTCACTCTCCTTAGGTGCCTTATACTTTGTTGATCCCATTCCTCTGTGGCCCCATAATCTCCCTGATCAGAAAATTGGGGACACCACTGAGTTACACGATGTTACAGTACAGGTTCTCTTATATGGCTTTGATCTTTAGCTCTGTTATATTTTGTCTTACACAAAGAGGCTTTCTGTGTCCCATTGTATTCGTTGAAACTATACCCAAGGTAGTTTGACATGCCTACAGAGAGCACAGTAAATCTTCAAAGGAAGTGGGCAGGATTCATTCTATATGCATCAATTTCTAAATGCCAAGACTGAGTTCAGCCTCTTTCACTTTCCATGAAGTCCAGGGACCCACTGAATGGAATTACTGCATGCATCCTTCCTTCCTGGACATGGTCTGGCGTGGCTGTACTTGTATTCTTGGATCAGACCACATGTGCTGACAGCCTTGCCATTAGTATAGCTCAGTATAAAGTGAATCTCACTTTTTCACCCAAATTAAACTTTATTTTTCACTTTCCTTATCAGTCTTTAAAGAATGATGAACAGTCTGCTAAAATTGATGTTCAGAAGCTCCTGGAACTGGGCCAGAAACAGAGGTAAGACTGTGATTTCTGTCCACTTTTCATGTTTTTTTTTTTTAGAAACTGTACCCAAGGCTTCCCCCAGTTAACTAATATATTTGTTGTTGTTGTTGTTGTTGTTGTTGTTCTCAATGTGTGCATTGTACCAGGGGATAGCTCAGCAGGATCAGTGCCTACCTGGCAAGTGCAAGGTACTGAGTTCAATCCCCTGTACTAAATAAATAAATA